GAGGCAGCGAAGAACTTGCTTCGTCTACTTTGCTTGTCAGACTCTGCCTCTCCGTCGGAAGTAGCAGCACGGGGCGTACCGCGGATTGTTCTCTCTTCTTTTTGTCACGACCATTCCTGGTTTTTAGACGTATCGTAAACGACGACATTAGTATCGCGTGCAACGGCTCGTGCAGCTTTTAACGGAGCCGAATGTTCGTGGCGAGCAGCGAGCCGACAAGATTGCGAACGTGCACTTTGAAATATCGGAATGCAAATTAATGCGCCAAATGTTACTTTTTTTGATATTTTGGTATCTTATAATATTAAAACAAAATGTTATTTGATATCTTACATACTCCAACTTAATACTTAATATTCTTTGATTGTCGACATAAATCTTTCAATGAAGACGTTTTACATATAAAAATAGTCATCACAATCAATTATTAAGATATTACTTATTAAGGTGATATTTATAATTTTTTTAATAATTAATTATCTGATTGTACAATTATTTCACTCAATTGAGACGAAAAGAAGAAGAAGATTATTTTTATTATACTCATTCAATACTGAAGTATTTTATCAAAATCGATAATTTTAACTACTGCATTTTATATCTACTAGGTGCGCAACTAAGTTTCCGGGTTTCACACATGAATGGCGCTAACGATACATTGTAGTCGATATACATGTCTAAAGTTGTGTTTTTTTATTAACTTGGACATCTGTCAACAATAGCCAGTTATAATACCAACACATATCGCAACGCAAAAATTTTTTTTCTAACAATAAAGATGTCGAGTTTTGTGCCAACTAAACAGCATTTGCGGGAAGCTTTGCTTTTCTGCTTCAACTTGAAAGAAAATGCAGCTGAAGCAGGTCGTTTGCTTAAGAAAGCCTACGGCAAACATGCACCATCGAAAACTACCTGTAAAGATTGGTTTAAACGCTTCAGAAGTGGCGATTTCGACACTGAGGACAAGGAGCGCTCCGGAAGACCAAAAACATTTGAGGACGCCGATCTGCAAGCGTTATTGGATGAAAATGATACGCAAACACAAGACAACAACAACTGATAAATTTGAACCATGCATTGCTCGAAAAACGGCCAGAATGGGACACGAGACACGAACGAGTAATATTGCAGCACGACAACGCTCCGTGCCATCGCACTTCCATCGTCCAGGACACCATCAAAACGCTGAAATGGGATCTGCTACCGCACCCGCTGTATTCACCAGACCTGGCCCCTTCCGATTATCACTTGTTCCGGTCGATGGCGCATGGCTTGGCTGGGCTACACTTGGCCAATTTCGAAGAAGTGCAGAATTGGTTGGATGAATGGTTTCGATTCAAAGACGCGTCGTTTTATCGTCGCGGTATTCATGTATTGCCAGAGAGATGGCAAAAATGTGTAGCTAGCGAGGGACGATATTTTGAATAAACCGTTTTTTGTATTTCTCTTGAAATTTTCCATTTTGCATTGATAAAAAAACCCGGAAACTTAGTTGCGCACCTAGTATATATCAATAGCAAAACGTGTTCAGCAATAATAAACGCGTAATAATTTTTTGAACTACTCTAATAACTTTATTAATCACTTGCTCGAAATTACGAATAAAGCGTACAATCTAGATTAATAATGTTTTCCTTGATCGCAATCGCTGACGATTTATCGAACATATGTACCTGTGGGATACACGATATTTCCGACGCGCCGCTAATACATTGTGAAACATCATCGATAGCTCTGTGATATCGCAAACATTAAGTATTCAAAGAGGCGCGATTTTATTTTCGGTAACAATTGATCTATGGATTTCCCGTCGCTGCGTTGTCGCTATTCGCATCTCGCGGTAAATATTTCATTGCAATATTATGTCAAATATCAGAGTCAAAAGTCATGATTTTTTCTTGAAATAAAATCACGAATTAAAAAGTGGAATGCCAATTTAACGCAGGTGTTTCGGCATTAATTTAATTTCAATGAACATATATATCCTGCAAGTGAGAGTTAGCATAATTATAGCTTCGTTAAAAATGCGAAAAATTTTAGATATTTTTGATATGCAAATTTGAAATTAAAATGGAGCTAGAAAGTAAAAAAAAAACAGAATTAAATATTTAAATAATATATATATTAGTTGCAAAATGCATCATTTACCTGAAAATTATTACTGCAATATTTAAGCTCACTTTATTTCACAAATTTTTATTCATAAAACATATATATTATGTAAAATACTACGAGTAAATTTTTGTGTTTAAGTAATTTATATCTTTCTCACGATTATTTAGAATTCTATTTAGAATAGTAATTGAAATGAATCAAGTAGGAAACAAAAATGAAAATCTTTTAACGCAAACGCGGAGTGGACTGGAGAAACCTTCGAGTTCAGGATCCTGTTGACTTACGGCGCTTCCGGTCTATTGACTTACGGCGGTTCTGTCGATTCGTCGAGCGGGACAGAGACAGAGAGCGCATGGTCTGTTTAATAAGCAAACCCGCACAGTTTGATTTGCATTGCGCGCAGTCATGCTCCTGTCGCGGTGCGAATTTCAACGCGACGGCCTCCGCTACTCGGTGGCCACCTGAGTAACGTGAGATACCTGCACGATGATGCAGCCTGCCCTGGGACACGTAATGCGCCCGAATAGAGAGGGCTTTAAGGGGCATTCCTGTCGCGCCTGCATCGCGCCGCGCGCGATTCAGCGTCAAGCACTGCCATCGAATGACAGTCTCCGGTGTCAAAGCATACCCGGTTGCCGGTGTACAACATGATCAGCCCCGCCGCCACCCTGTGTCGCTGTCTTCTTCCATCGAGAGCCGCGCAATTCGAGCAGCAAATGCAATATTGTGGCCTCGCCGCCGAGATACTCGAGATAAAATAGCACGCTCGCTCGCGATTTGACCCTTTTTTCTTGATTTTCAAAGGCAGTACTTCTAGAACCTCTTTGGATACTTTTTTCCATCCGTGTGCCGAGTGACGGTACTGATGTGCATTTAATTATCAATAGAGTTTAGAAAATTCAATAATTTCTAAACCGAGCTTTATATAACGCTTTTTTAAAAATTCAACCATTCAAAATTTCTTCGATCTTTGAATCGCAACATATCGTTAATGTATCATTTTCGTATAGAGTAAAAATTCATCGTGTTTGGTGAAAATATTTGTTATAAAATTTAGAAAAGCACAGCACGTATATACACTGAGAAAAATGTTTTGTTTGACTCAACAAACCGTCTGTTCGATTTTCGACGAAACAGACAGATTCTGGTTGAATCTACCAGATTCTAGTTCAATTTACCAGAATTCTTAATGCAACAAGATTCTGGTAGATTCAATCAGAATCTGTTTTTCGTCGAAAATCGAATAAACGGTTTGTTGTTGAATCCTAAAGAACATTTTTCTCAGTGTACAAATTCAACACAGCTTACTAAATACTGTACACTTCTGTACGCTTATGTGATCTGTATATTTTGTATGTAGCAGTATTTCTTGAAGCGTTGCTTTTTTATGGGAAATTATACTTTATTTAACTCGACGGAGTCACTTCAATTTTATTATTCAGCAGGTAACACCGTATCTCTTTTTCTCTTTGTTCGACATTCATCGAGTTATTTTTCCATTCGCGCGTTCCATGCTCACAAGTGTCTCTTCGCATTAGTCGACGGGATAAATGCAAAAACGAGATATCGTTTCGCCGCTCGAGCACCGGCCACGCGGACCGGATGATCAGCAAGTGGAAACGGACGAGCACGCGTCCGGCCTATGAAATCGGAGTCGGACTTGCGAGTGGGCGAATGTTTATTTGAAATAGGATAGCCGCGAACGATTGCGCGTTCCTGATTTCAAAACCTGAGCGAGGGGAAGTATCGAACTTCGGACTGCCAACTAATGAAAAATTCGCGTCCAACGCTTGCGGTCTAATGGTTCGGATGTATCGTTCGACGACAATCAATTGCACTCTGTGCGACACGAGAAAAGTCAATAAATGTGTGTTTTTTTTTTATGTGGAGTATTAATATATAGAATCCAAAAAAAACAATATATTTAATAACAGGAAAATTGATTTACATAAAATTTCTAAACTCTTTTCCAGTAAATAAATACAGCGTACATTTATCTCATGAAAAAAATTGGAATTGTTTATTGGAAACTATTGTTTTATGATTGTAGGGGTTTTAAAAATTTTTCTAAATTTTTTTATAAACAAATTAATGAAAACCAATTTATTATGATTATTATTAAAAAGTTAATAAAGTTATAAGATTAATAAACATTCTGATATGTTTTTGTTTACAACTTTATAAAAATAATAGAAATGGTGATTTTTGGATTTAAAAATGACGCATGCCAAGGAGCAAAACGAGAACAACGACTTCTCTGCAGCAAAGCGCTATCCGACCTACAATCTCTTATCTTGCAACCCTACTCTCGCCTCTCTCACTGCCAACTACTCTGCCTTTGACATCTTATCCGCCGCTACATACAATCTTCTCAGAATTTATATTAAACAACCGACTCCCATTATTGGTTTATTCGTGCGTTGCGCGAGGCAAGGTAGCATCCGTTTGGCGAATTTTGTGAGCGCTTAAAATGAGTGCAGCGAATCTCTTTTTACAGTTCTCTGTGCGCGCGAACGTCGCTTATATGCAATATAAATCTGAAATTTGAGAAAGCATTTTCTCGTTTTAGAAAGAAATTAAGTTTAGCTTTTGATAATTGAGACAAATTAAGTAATTATTGAAAAATATGTCTGCATTTGCGAGCAATTGAAAGCATTAAATATGCATAGATATATTTTGGTGTAAAATGAAATGCTAATGCACAAATTGGGAACTTTATCCCATATCATTCTAATATATGTGTAATACATTACAGATATTACATAAAATTATTTTGTATAATGTTTCCATGAAATAATTCTAAATGTTAATTTTCAGTTTGCATATATAATAGTATTTCTTATAGAATTATTTATAATAATCTATATTTTCTTTCTTTATTACAGCTTGCTCCTCGAACGAATTTATATGCAGAAACAAGCAGTGCATCGACAATAACAAATACTGCGATGGCGTGCCAGATTGCCACGATGGATCCGATGAATACAACTGCCGTAAGTATTGCTTCTACATCCGAAAAATGATCGCCCACTCATCGTAGTTATTTGCATGCGCATGTGAATTGTTACTTTGGTCTTGCAATGGTGGTATCGCGCATTGGTATCGTGTATTATAATTATGTTCTAGAATCTATTAGTTCTTTTCTAATTACTACTAATGCGAAAGTAATTTGCTCGACAAATTAATATGACGCTCTTTTAGCATTCATTATTTTCAACTCATTAGTCTTTTTTATCAGTTGCATAAATATTAACGAGTAACATGCATAAAATAATTCTCATATATTACTAAAAAAATATTTTATTTTTATATTCTTAACCATCAATAATTTTGCAAAAAAAAACATTTTTTAAAGATTTTAATATCCAAATATAGCAAGAATCAAGGTTTTTTGCGATGCCAACTTGAAGATATCGTAAAGAAGGGGTTGATTGCAAATAAAAATACATTCTATGACAACATCAGTCTCGCACATATGAATCCACCGTCGATAAAAATATCTTCACACGGAATCGTTATTAATACCTTCCCACGTACCCCGATATTATTTATCGCCGGCTAACGTTGCACGTCAGGTCTGCATGCGACTGCCACGGAACTAATCGCGAATGTGTCTCGACGTATTACGATGAGCTCAATAATTATAATAGCTGTGACAATAACAATAGCGTGCTCGGAAAAAAAAGTATGGGGTAGTTACGAATGTAGTAGTGGTGGCGGCGACGGTGGTAGTGATGGCGGCGTTCTTCGGCCTCGTGTTTAAGGCCGTTGCACCCGTGGCATCGACATTCCTTTTCCCTCTTCGTTCAACCCTATCCGCCAACCGCCCTCCCAACTATGTCAGCTTATTATTTCCGCCGTCTTTTGCAAAGACACGCTTCGCGGCCGGTCCGCCATGTACGACCGCGCTCATCGCTAACTACGCCCGCTCGTTGTGGCCTAATTTTTTTTAAGAATCGAAAACAAGGAACATATTTTACGACCGAAAATTGGCAGCTCGCAATATGCGACTGAAAACGAGTTGCAATCATAATTCGAATTTTTGCGAGTGCTTGTGTTTTAGAAAACATCCATGTCAGCAGTTAAATCAGCAGAAAATATAGCCATTTTATGTGTTTAACTCTCACAGAATATTGATTATAAATCATCCTGCAGACCTATTTGAAAAAAAATGTTTCTATACCTGTCTGCTTTATGTCACAATGCAGAAAAGATTACAGATATTCAGTTCTGCATTATTTTGCAATTCACGTCGTACAAATATGTAATGTTGTAATTGCAATTTTATGCGGCAATAAACCATTAGCGGAAATAATGAAGCACAACACGTTCGGTGGCACACATCGTATTTACGTGATTAAGCAACGTTTACACGCCCATTGTAGCTAATGACAATAATGATTTCTAGCGTGCGTGCGTGCAAATAAGATTGACCGTCGATGGAAGTCTTACTCATCTTCTTGCGCAATTCATCGGGCATCTCATTAGCGGCGTAAATGCTGTCGAGAACTACAAGAGAAAGTGATTAAAAAAAAGGATGTAAAAGAGGGCGGAGCACCCCGACCCCCTTCAAATCCCAGCGATGGCTCTCTGTCGAACGAGATTTACTCGCGTTTATTAATCCGCCCTAATAACCGGCCGCAATTTTAATCCGACGTTAATCTCCACGGGCCGTTGCGGGTCGAACGTCGGCCCTTCCGTCATGCTCTGCCCCGGAATTTCGCATTTTCACCGCTTTAATCCAATTTTGATTCGTGACGGTGCCCGCCGAACTTCTCCACACTGCGAAAATCGGCCCGCCGCCGCGAAATCGTGTTTGCTCGCGAGAGTCATCAAGTTAAATCCTCGTGCGAGATTATGTCTATTTCTCGCTGTCCAGACGTCGAGATGTTGTATGGCGTGTCATGAAGCCGGTGGATGATATTTTAGAAATAGTCGATTTGACGAGTTTTATTGGCCACGATAAATACGTCAAAAAATCTGATAAATATCATATTTTTCGCCGCGAGGAAAATTATATCTCATTACATATCATATCGTAATTATTCCGATTAATTCAGGATTAGTTTGTAATTACAGTTTGCAGTTAAACCGTTAATTTCTCAAGTGCATATTCGCGTCCAGCGGATCGTTTCCAGACTACCTGGATATTCGCGCGACTAAATCGCTGCGAGCATCGAGTTCGTGAGCAGATTATTGAACTCGCGGCTCGTTTGCAATTCAATCGTCAAATGGGCGAGGCTTCGGGGCAGGCCTTGAACCTAAGATGATGTCAGAAATCGCAGAATCTCCCGTCACGCGCCACTTTATCAAGCGATTCACAACTCCGCACGTTGCCTCATTTTTCTTTGCGCGTCGTCGAGATAATATAAATCCATTAATTTTTCTAGAATAAATTACAATATAAATTTCCGAAATTTTACCTTATAACCGAACAATTAATCTTATATCGGCCACTTTTTAACTGTAAATAACAGTATGTTAAAACTAAATTTTTTATAATCAATAACTGTCATTCCATTCGACAATTAAGCTGGCAATACAACTGGAACTTCTATAATTCTACACCGCCGCCACTTTATTCGTCAGTGCGATGCGAATTATTTATCTCGCATCGCGGTTTGAGCGTTGATAAAGCACCGTTTTATTTATCCATAATTTTTTGGTTTCGGTTTTCACATTGCTCTACTATTGATGAAGTAACTGATTAATTTTTCTATGGAACCGGAGTGCTTCAGCGAGGTCGCGATGAATATTTTATCAAACGGGAGCAAACACGCACAAGAAAGATTGTATAAAGTATCGTTATAAAATATGTCAGACTTTTCCATAGCTGACTAACTGAGTTGTCTTTATTTTACTTAATTATCCACCTTAATTATTAGACAATTTTCTTTTCTGTCCTTCCAAGCCTTGCATAGATGACAGTTTAGTATTTTTCAGGAAAGTACTGAAAACTTTTATCTCTTAAGTGGTGAAAACTTCTATCTCTCTCGCTTTCATCGATGAAGAACTTTCTGCATCGCTGTTTCTTCTAAACTTGTCCGCGACTTACGTTTGTCTGTCTGTCTGTCTATCTGTCTGCCTGCGTGTTTACGTGTGCTTCATCCCTGCGTGTATTCGTGCAAATAACCATCATCGACGTGGCTAAATGTAAAAGCAACTGTTAGTCGTCACGCAGTGTCCTTTCGCGGCGAACAGGTTCCTTCAGGTTTTTTCATCATTAACTAATTGCCGTCGTAAATTAGAGTACGGCGGCAGGTACGACGATTGACCGTAACTTCTCGTTCATTTATAATCTCTTCCGCGAAATTTCCTCAAATGTGTGCTAATTAATGGCCTAGCACTTGAGCGCGCTTAACAGCGGCCACTAATTAGTTCTCCAGCAGTTTCTTTTATATTGTTTTACTTCATACTGTGCGATCTTACGTTAGAAATGTGTCTGACGTCTCTTAACACTAAAGTACCTTTGGTTGGGATTGTATTACTCTGATATCAGGTCTGTTTTTCTTAACTGTACTTTTCGTTTAACATGAAAAAAATTTATGAATTTTTAGTTTTAGAGGAACAAATGAAAAACAGATATTACGGAAAATGGTAGATAAGTAAAACAGATCTGAGATTAACTTTGTGTTGCTTATTTGCCTCTTGTGCAGAAGAATTCAATTCAATTCTATTCTTTTCTCAAACATCGTGAACATCAGGCAGGAATGTGGCTTAATTTACTCGTCGACGAATTCTACTCATTGTTGACGATCATTGTGCTTCCTCTTCGTCATTTATGTCTCTGTGTTACGTTCATTCGGCAGTTTATGTCTAATCCTCGGCGCAGTAAACGCCATTCTCAGCTGTGTTTGTCACGTGTCATCTCTCGAATTGACCTGCGTCAGCAGGGTCATTGTGCCGTTCTCGGCCACATAAATCTTCTCAGATTAGCCTGAGTGCAATTCTTACAGCCTGCAGGGAAGACCAATTCGAATGCGCGGCTGGTTATTGTGTGCCCTTATCACGACGCTGTGACGGATACACGGACTGTGTCGGTGGAAAGGACGAACAAAATTGTCACAACATGAGTACGAATTATCACTACTTACACCAACAAGCTGTGGAACGTCGCACGAACCATGTAAATCAACTACTTGCGCTGGAATAATGTCGCACATATGCACGCAAAATGGCCTTTATGCTTAATGAGAACGAGAACTTGTTTGACTTGCTGAACCGTTTAAACGAATGTGACCAACATTTCTTGTTTTCTTCGCAGTTGAAGATATACAAATGTGGATATATAAAAGTTTGCGCGTATTATGAAAAATACGTAGTAACGAGATTGCAATATCGTATTATAGATAAGCGTCATGAGATTCCAGCGCCGGTAGTTATGGAAACACGTGATAATTGAAAAGATCAAATGTTTTATTTGATTTTTTTGTCGTGAAACTTTATAATCGAGAAAAATGGATTTGATTGAATTTCGAGGGCATCAGTCTCGTGTTCCCGCGTTTGCATGATTTCGCGTCGCGATACACGTATATACACACACACACACACACACACATACATAGAGACAGCGTTTCGCAACACGCACACCTCAAAGCGAGAGGTAGGTATGAATTCTATTGCGTCTTCGGGTTTGGTGAAGGAGTGCGGCAAGCGCGAATTTTCATTCTGCCGTGAACGGTGCCTGTACAGCATGCGGTTTGAGCTCTCGCATTTTTAACTCATTAGGAAGTAGCGCATGATAATTTACGCACGACGCTGGTTACATCATAAAGTTATGCGGAAACTCGCGAGCAGGTATTCGCACTTGCAATAACGCGACAGCAATTCTTGCGTTTAATTATTCACGGATATGCCGTGCACGCATGTGGCCGCGAATTTACTCCGCGAAACTGTCATCGGCGCGTGCGGAATATTAGCGCGGAGTAGCTGTTATCCCCAGTCATCGCGGATAAATTATGATAACTCCAGATATTTTTCAAGTTGAACTAATCTGGAATCTGGCGACGATAATCCATAAAGCCAGATAAATCAAAGTCTTATTTGCGACCGAATACGGAAACATGAGTGAAAATTCATAATCAACTCTCGGATTTAATTTTAACTACGCCGATCGGATGTTACAAGACTGTCACACTCAGAACAATGTAAAGTTTTAATCAAATTTTATTGATTTTTTATTATTCTCAGTGACATATTTTTGAATACCTCACATTTTCACGATGCGATGAATAACCAAAGTCACTAACACGAATGTCAAGCAGACGAATAACGCGACACAACGGTCCATATTTGTCATAGGTCAAGTGGATTTTTGCAAACAGTTGCCGTTTTTAATTAACTAAAGCGGGCTGTCGAATATTTTCGAACGGGGCATGTATCCAATTGATTATTGATATCGCGTAAATTGAATATACTTCGGTAACCGGTTCAAATTGCGACAATAATCAAAAAAACTCGAAGAGTCGATAGCTCTTCCGTTACTTTTTTCGTACAGAGAACGAAAACTTTTAACTAAATCAAGATATCACTGTAAAAATGTTGTCGCGTCAATGAGGGTATTTGTTTCGCGTATTTTTTTACGATTTACTTTTTATCTCTTTTCTTCTCTTATTTTATTTTATATATGTTTTTTTATCTTTTATCTTTTTTCAAATAGCACGATGTCGAGCGGACGAGTTCGAGTGCGCCAGTGGTTCGTGCGTCAGCAAAAACGCAAGATGCGATGGACGAAACGATTGTGTTGATCATTCTGATGAATATAATTGCAACGGTATATTTTTTTTCTTTTGAGTTTATTTTAAGTTATGAGTAATTATTTTTTTTTAATTAAATTTTATTATGTGGACACAATTATCAGCTAGAACTAACGAGCAAGAGGTAAATTATTTGTTTCCTCAACTTTCGGATACAATATTTAATTATAAAATTATAAATATTATCTTGTAATAAACTATTTATAGAGCTTTAACATACGTCGCTTTATATATTTTGAAAGCGGCTTTCTCACATTATCTTTTCATGTTATTGTTTTCAGTAACCACCTGTAGCGGGGATCAATTCCGTTGCCTGGACGGTATCTGCTTAAGTATCGACAAACGTTGCAACGGAATCCCCGACTGTCGCAACGGCGAAGACGAGAGTCAATGCGGTAAGCTAACTCGTTTTTTTCCTTCTTTTTTCAAATTTGTATTAACTCAATCGATTCTTATGCTTTAAGAGCATATATCGTACGCGACACACCAACGAGATTTTAATGATGCGAATTTCAGCAGGATCCAATTTCTATTGTTTTTAATTGCGTCATCTTTGCTCGCCATCGACAGCGTAAATCTTACGTTGTGGCATATTTGCAATTAATTGTGATATTAATAATTAGTTTTGTATGCGCAATGATAATTCTACCGCAACGATTCCAGCAGTAAGCCGCGACAAGTTTGCGCCGATGCTCTTTGCCAAGTATTGGTTACTTGACACGATTATTCACGAGCGATCGAGAGGGGCGCTTGAGCTTAAACGAGCCTCAAACGCGCCTGTGAAGTTTAACAACAAGATTGCGGGCACTTTAATAAGTCTCGTGGATAAATTTAATAATGATCTCATTTGAACGCGGAACTTGCGCTTACTATTGCAAAAGTGTTATCACAAAGAGATTGCGATACACACGAATCTCTTTTATATTTTTTTCAGGAGAAAAAAACACTGTTTTTCCTTTTTTTTTGCTTGTCTCATCGCGAATGAAACATTTTTCATTACGTTGGAATAACAAATTTGTAAGCTGAAATTGCCACACGCATTTACGCCTGTACATAATTATGCGTTGCGAGCAATTCGAAAGCCCAGCGTTGAATATGCGCGCTGTAATGTGAATACGCAAACTTAATTTTCTCCGGCACGCTTCGCGTGACTTTCGATTTACGATTTTCCACACTGACCGAACTTTACGCCCAAGTGCGCCGCGCTGAAAATAACGTCTTTCCCCAAAATAGTTTAGCCGATGTCGTAGCACCACGTCACCTAGTCCCGATTTCGTTCCCGTTCGATCTGATCCTCGCCCACGCACAATCGGTGCAAAGAAAGCAACGTATCGGCGAACTTTTAGGGATCCCGATAATACAGTTACCCACTTTTTACGACGTTTCTATTTCTTTAATTTTGGAATTAAATTAATGAATTTTTAAGCAAACTTGATCCGACGTCCCTACAATTTTTATGTATGGAGCAAAAGCAGCAATCACCGTTAATCAAAGATAAATTAATTACAGTGAAACAATTTAATAATTTAATAATTTATATTGTTTCACTGTGATTAATTAATCTTTGATTGATAATGTAGATTATTGCCTTTGCTTAGAAACTTCTTATATATTTCCTCCGTTCATAAACTAATCTCAGCGAAAGCAACACAGCTCGCAACATCTTTCACCAGGTAAAGGTACGAATATACGTTTCTTCCCCGTTCAAATAATATATCTGTACATTGTGCAAATTATATTCTGACCAATCTCAGTAGCATTGTATATCATAAAATTAGCGACACACGTAGTTTGCTTTCTTAATGCGCTTTCTTTTATACGGGAGATACGGAATATTGAAGGGCTTACTGCGAGCCGCGAGCCGGCTTGCTGAAGGATTAGGGATCCTGAGGATAGGGATGGGGATATCTTGCGGATGAGGGTTGACGCGGGGGTCAGTGGACAAATGTATCTTTAAATGCGCATGAATGTGGTGTATGGAGCAGGTTGCGGAGAGGCTGAGTTTCGCTGCACGGACGGTCGCTGCATCGGCTATGAGCTGCAGTGCAACGGGGCGAACGAGTGCTCCGATGGCTCCGATGAGAGAGACTGCGGTAATTATGTCATTCCACCAATCACTTACGCACACTACCCGTTCTCTTTTTTTCTGCACACAATACGTACACACACGACACGCATACTTACGTACGCGCGCTAGACGAACATGCAACGAACACATCACTCTTAACGTTACGAAACGAGATTTACGTTAATGTATATTACAATAATCTGCCGTGATTTTTAACGGTAGATTCGATAGATTAATTTAAAGTTAGTGGAATTGGGACGTCTGTAGAAAGAAAGGAGATTAATATACATTTACATAGACATAGATGTACGATATACTATATTATGTCAAAAGAATTATTTTCATTTTATACATCACTTATATTTTTGCGATTTGTAATTAGTACTTGAAAGTAAAAGTATTTAAAAAGAGAAAGTTACATTTAATTTTTACAGCCAGTTGCAAAATTGAATTTCACTAACAGTTTTATATTATTATAGTTTAAAATGCAATAAATAATAGAAAGTTTGACACAAAAACTGACAAAATTTAACCGACACGTCGTTTCTATCGATCGCAGTAACTTTCCAATACAGTTTCCAAGAATTCTAACCTTTTTGCCATTACATTTGGTTTTCTCCGCGAAGATTTCTTTTTAATCATACTTATCGCGAAATCATGCGTCGCCGTAGAAAAGAATCCACGAAGAAACTTTTATAACGCCAAAAAGTTCAACACGATAACACAGAAGTCGCCAACCATGATTTTCTACGGGAGAAATCCTACGGATCGCCAAAAGAATATGAATATGCAGTCCAAAACGAGCAAAAGTATCTATGAAACCACTGTCAAACCGGCCGTGACGATCAGCAACTCGGTCTTGGAAGCGTTTCCAGAAAAACCTCAACGACGAAAATTCTCAAACTTTACATCGCAGAATCCCTCGACATATTTGACACGAATTGTACCTAAATCGAAAGATAACGAGCACGACTCTCTACATGATATGGCAAAAACCACAACGAGATCTATTGACTCTAATAAACTATTTATCTCGCAGATACTCAAGACAAATGATATCAAAACAGAGAATACCGATTTGAATAATAAAAAGGATTGTTTTGGATTTAGAATAAAAGAAGGAAGTAAACGTTTATATTATTGTAATAAATATAAGAGTGACATCAAGCCATATACAACAATAATTCCAACTGTGAACATGAATAAAGTCAACGAATATATTGCGACAAATTTGAAATATGATGAAACGCCAGAACTAACTGTATTTTCTACAGAAAAAATACCCATTATAGGAAAAACCAACAAAAATGACAGCTCGATAAAAACAGAAAAGTTGCTGTATGAATCCAATTCTCAGGATATAAAGTTACATCGATATTTGGAAAATATTCCTAATATCACTGACGATCTCCATAAAATATCAAAAAACCTTTCGACTTTAAACCATAATTCATTTGATGAAAATAACGACAAGATTGATTCTGGACTAACAAACTCCGACGAAACATCAGAATCAGTAATTTCAAAATCTAATGAAAATAATGGAAACGACAAAATCGATTCCGGGTTGGAAGAAGGATCGCAGGATGATTTCGGTGTTTTGTTATTGACGCCGTCGATGAGAACTCCACATTTCGTCACATGGAGTGAAAGCGAGTCGAAGGAAGAAGCATCCGCCAAAAAGCACAACAGACACAAGCACAAAGGTCGTCATAATGATCATAAGAACAACAGGTCTAAGAAAGGAAAAAAGGATTATAATGCGAAGCGTAAGCAGAAGACGACTATAGCTCGGAAAGACGACAAGGCGACGAACGCCGCCAACGCTTATGACAACGATTACAGTGCAGAGCGGAGCTCGACTGCGTTCTCTCGTAATGATCCAAGATACAACAAAGCCAACGATAATCCGAGTGCAGGCACAAATGATAGGAGTGACTGGTATCTTACTGATGAAATTACAACAAAATCTTTTAAGATGGAATTCTCTAGCGTTGATGAATCCGGCACGGAATATTTCACGAAAGGCAGCACCCAAGACGGACTTCAATCAACAGAGACAACAAACGCGGATTTATCTAAGAAAAATTCTAAAAAATGTAAAGAACGTGTCACAACTACCACTGCGAAAAACTGGTTGGTTAGTTGGTTTTCCAACAGTAATAAAAACATAGATGATGAAGAATCGACTGATTGCAAAGAGGATGTTACATCATTTCCAATCACGAGCGGCTCCGAGGAACAAAAATTAACAACAGGATATTATACCACAGATGATTCTTTCATGTATAAAAATAGCAAGAGGAAAGGCGCGAGAGATAAAAAAAATAATAGAATATATAAAAAATTAGAAAATGAAGAAAATGATATATATTCAGATCTCGATAGTGAAGAGGAAGAAGACGCAACGGATTGCAACGAAAATCAGTACGCTTGCGACAGCAAGCACATATGTATCGAGGAGGACCAGGTGTGCGATGATGTCCTGGATTGTCCCGACGGTAGCGATGAGATTGGCTGCAATGACTCCGAAAGTATCTCCGAAAGTACCGAAGGTATACAGAAAATAATATCTTGCGATCTGACGTCACTTTGCTGTAAAAAGATTCTTATCTAAACGGAAGTGCGTTCCGTAAATCTCATCTTTGTAATATCGTTTCGGGAAGACGATCTGTCATCTTCGCTGTACAAAAAATGGCTTTGAAGACGTCCGAATGGTTAACGTGGACGTTCTTGGGAAACCGCCGAGATCTGTCGGCAAAAAAGAATATTACTTTCGATTGATGGATACTTCATTTTCTGTGTTCATGTTATTCTTATCAGGAGGTTGCAAACAACACGCTTCTATACGTCCGAAGCAATGTCGGGAATACACTACCCATATCGCAGTGCTTTGGGGAATAAATATATTAATGGACAAATTTCTTGCAAAACACAAATAACGATATTTAATGTAAAAGTGCACGTTTACGTTGTGTCGTCCATCTTTCCTGTAAAAATATTGCCTTTTGTGGAGAGAAAAAGAAAGGGAAACAGTAGAGAGGGAATCGGAAAATTATACCGACATGGTGATCTTTGAAGTGCAGTGACGATTATCTTATCGCTTATTAGACGATTATATTATCTCTCATTCCTGGCAGACTTATTAGACTCATTAAAACTTCTCGTTTAACCTGAAAGAGGATTTGCAATTGACGATTATAAGAGCCGGTATCGATGCGTCAGTCAATAGCTGCATTAGTCAGTTCGCATGCTGCAGACGTGCAATCAACCATTAGTATCTTTATGTAGTCGATTAAATCATCGGACGTGCGTCCGCAACGGCAAATCGCAAATCCTCTTCTCGAATGTAGGAAGATCCCATTCCATTAATATCATTCTTGACATCATCGTTGAATATACACTCATTCTCTCGTTTTTCACAAGGATAAAAATTTACTTTTCAACCATAAGTCACAAAAAAGAATTTTAATGACATCTTAAAGAATCACTTCCGCTAGTGACGAAACACAACTCACACAACATACATATACCCGAACTGTACATAATCTATAAGGATGTGGGAGTAAAGGCGAAAGTAAGGGATTATGAGAAGTTTGAGGCATTGAAATCTTTTTAAAGAGATATGAAATCGAATGTTTGATTTTCAAGATAAAATTGCCTCGTATTTCTTCTTATCTCTACTTTCTGTCGTAAACGAAATAATTCTAACCACTTTCGCAGGGCTTTTTTCACAACGCTTTAAGTGTTAGATAAGCTTCAAGAACATTCTGTGTAAAAAATTTCTTGATCGCGTTTCTTTCGTTTTACGAAAGACGCTTTTTATGTACAGATTTACGAGTCCTCTATCATGCCTAAAACTGCTTTAAATGTTTCTTCGTACGTTCAGCTTGTATTTAATTCAACCTCGAGTTCGTTTGTTGCAGTCGCCCGTACAAAAAGAATTATTTCTTGTCATTTATTTTTTATTAATTTTAATCAGGCAATTATTTATACACTAATTATAATTTTAATATAAAATTTGCTTCAAAATTTACGTTTCTACGTTCACTTCATTCAATATTTATTTTATTTGCGATAAATTGTCGCAAATCATTTACGTGACTCTTTCTAATGCAAACTTGAAAGTTTATTGAAATTGCGGCGACTGAATACGAGACACGAGCGTTGATCAGGAAGGTGTTTGTTTTTGCCGGTGGCACCCTGTAGGTTTGGCCCCGTGCCCTTCCACGGACTTCACCTGCGGAGATGGCTCTTGCATACCGAAGAGCTCGGTCTGCGACGGATTCGATGACTGCCCCAGGGCAGAAGACGAGCTTTATTGCGGTACATAATTATGTATATTTTTCACACTATCCGGTATCGAAGAAAGAGAGAAAGACTGAATAAACGTGCGTGCGTATGTAAACGACTTTTTATACAATTAATTAATTAATATTATTTTGACATTTTGACGCAACTTGCTCTTTTAAAAAAAAATTTCAAAGAAGAAATGCAATATTTTTATTGAGCTTCATCAATATTGTTGCGCGATTTCAACAATAACAAGTGGCGTGATGGAATTTTAACTACAAACGTACAGAAATTGATTTTGAATAATTGGTGCGAATTATTTATTCGCATCGTTATGTTCGATCACGTTAAATTTTATGCTTGTTAATGTGGTCTTTTAAATTAATCTTTTGTGAGAAAAACAATATTACTTACAATAATAATTTGTCCGTATAATTATATTGATATTAGTTCTATCTGTTCAAAATGAAAAAGTACCTGATTGGAATGCGTGAAGAGTTACAATTAAAATTACAGTTCATTGAATTCTTTCTCTCTATCTTTACACCATCTTTTCGAATCCCTGCTTTTTTGCACTCAACGCTTGCCATTAAATCAATCGCTTGATGATTTTACTTCGTTGGATCCAATCGTTGATTTGTTTCGCGTTGATTAGTCGCTAATTATGAAGCTTATTGTAAATTTGGATCCAACATTAAGGTAATCTTGTTGGATCCAATCGCGGATTTGTTCCGTGTTAGTTAAATGCTAGTTATAAAGCTTACTGTAAATGTGGATCCGACGTTAACATAACCGATTATTTTAATCGCAGATTTCAAGCACGAAATATCACGAATTATTTTAATTAATAAACACATTTTTATACACGCACACACATCTTTGATTTGAGATGTTTGATTTACTCAATTGTAGAAAAATATATCACTATCTAGTAATTATGATTTAAAAAGATAGATTATTTGCAATTTCATAAAAGTAAATAATATGTGTATATATTTATTTATTTATATATTGTACAAATGGATAAAACATAGGCATAAAATCTGCGTTTAAAGTCTCAACACATATATTCATTATATAATCATGTAAATAATTTTATCATTATTCCTAACGCATTCCCGGCTATCCTCCAGATTTTTTTTAAAGGGTGTGAGAGTGTACAAAGTGTACAGGATACAAAGTATTTAAAATATAAAGTTATAATATGTAAAACATATCTCTTTGATCCCGCAGTAATTTAATCGTTGTTATTACAGAATAAATAAATTATTACAATATAATAAATATAACGATTTAATATAATATTTTAATATGCTATATAATATCCATTTGTGACCAATTGGTTATCTATACGATGCCTTCTATCGAATTTCACCGTGAAAACAAGCAAATATTATTTTCATACGCATCGGCTATGCATGAAAACCACAATTTTTTCCGTGAAGTCTGATTCTAAATATCGGAATCGTTTACCGACTGACAAACGACTTCATAATAGCGGACCATCAGACACATTTACCGGGGAGCTAATAATCGTGCATCCCCCCGTAAAATTACAGTCGATCGCCACGCGGAGGAAAGCTATACCTATCGTCACGACACATTTTTCGCACAGTGCACGCGACATTGTAATCCGCATTAACCGATACAGCAAGTTATTTTTCATTTCAACTCAACGTGCAGAATGGCTCGTTTTATAAACGTGAGCCAAAAATAATTTCCAATGCTCCCTCATTCATTTTAAACCATAACCGCCAACTGGCAGCCCCCAATAGCAGCTTTTCGCTTTCGTCATGTGGTAATAACCAGCAAAAAAAGCAATTGATTAAGGAACTACCTGTATAAAGCGAAATTAATGATCATCGCGTTCATTAAAATGTTTTATCCCGAAAAGTTTGAGAGTGTGCGTGGCTTATCGCTTCGATATATATATATATATACGTATATATTTATATGTACACGAGTCATTGTATGTGTAAAAATGTGTGTGTTCTCTGCGCATATGTTCGCTGAACAAAACAAAATACAGAGCGGGAATGCACGCCTAACCAGTTCAAATGCGCCACCGGGAACAAGTGCATCGAAGACATCTACAGGTGCGACGGCCATCCGGATTGCTCAGATCACAGCGACGAGGACTGCGCTCCGTCCACTAACGACACTACACACACCACTTCGCCTACCACCAGTACGCTCTTTTTTCAGTGTGTCCATTGCTTCATTCATGATACATTCGTGCGACTTCGTTTAGTGTGTTCCGCTAGCGTAGGGTACAGCTGAATATGCTACTTCAATATGCTCAATCTCGATGGCTTGGTAAACAATTGAACTTTTCGCATCATTGATTATTTTTACGTTAACCGATTGTTGAAAAGTTTCGAGGATAATAACGACATAATGAAGTGACAGGATTATTTTCATGCTTTTTTGTTTGCTATAATCGAATGTATCGATTTTTGAACTCTAACCACTTACTAAATATAACAATTAGACAATAGACAATTATTAAATGCACGAGATATTTCTCAAACGCGATTGGTTTCAGCTGCTTACGTTTCTGCCCTATATATTCTTCTATCCTATACAGCTTGTTCGCCGTTAGGTTGAAGTAAAAATGAGAGGTTTGAAAAATATCTTCCGGTTGCTACTGTAAGAAAGTTTCCCGTCCTCGCTTCAAGTCCATAATGTTTGGTTTCGGCCGAATCCTCTTAAGGAACTCTTATTTACGTGGGACAAGTGGATCTACCTGCCCGAGCGGACACACACTCGACGATGCTTGCATTTCATTGTGCATTTCTCACGATCAATCGTTACGGCCGTGGTCGAGAAAACGTTTCTCCATCTTATTGCTTCTTCAAAAACCTAAGCGTCCATTGTGACGTTTATTGTCGTATCAGACTAGAAGAATTGATATTTATGAAACGCGAGCACTAAATTTTATCGAGACGACTTATTGAAGATATAGAACTATTTTTTTTTTTCCTTCGATGAACCGTGTTCTCGACGACGTTTCCATTTTATTGCGCCATCCGAGTGCGGAAGGGTCGGAAACACCGGAAACACATTACCCCGCGAATCTCTGTACGGAAGATTCACGGTGGCCGTCGACGGTATTCTCGCCCGTTCGCGCCGCAAACCGCCGCGATGTAAGGCAGCCTGCAAATCTACGCTATGTACGTGCATTGATATATAAGTAGCTGCATTGCGCACGAAATTGTACGGTCAGATACAATGACGATGTTCAATTGGGAATGCACTCAATTATGTCTTCAGATTTTTCCCTCTGCGAGCTTTATCATTCTTGCGGCGATCGCTGCAGCCCGTCCGACCACCGATTGCCAAAAGAATAATAAAAAGTAGGAGTGAAAAATTAAATGAGCGCATTCTCATTGCATTGTGTATGTGAGTCTGCTTGCGGATTGACATCCTCTTTTTAGTCTTTGATGCATTCTCAGTTGCATTATGGTTGCATTTATGGAAGACAAGTGCATTACACTTCACTATCAACACACTCTTAAATTTTATCTCTGGGCGCTCGATTCTCCCCTTTTTTCTTCGCCGCGAATCGCCCTTGAATGTGCTTGCATATGCGCTCAGACTCGTCCGATTCACGCTGGACATCGAAACGCAGGAGGGAATGCGATCTGAGGAGGGAAATGCGTTGCGATGACGGTGGTTGCGTTCTTCTACGGCGTAAATGCGATAATATCTTCGATTGCCTCGATGGCAGCGACGAGCGGGGCTGTGGTAAGGCTTTACTTCGTCCTATCTGTCCCTTTTCCTCTTCAGATATTTATATTAACGAAGACAAACGTCATTCCTGATCTTATACAAACATCTTGGCAAAATATTTTATTTTTTCAATAAAATATTGTTTAGAATATACAAAAATTAATATTTACAAACAGATCGGTGCTATTATATTAAATTTAATTAAAAATGTTTGTAATTTACATACATATATTGAAGACTTACGTATTTAAAAAATTTCTAAATATCTTTCTTAATTTAAAAAAAAATAAATTATATTTGAATTCTTTAATTTTCGTTTATACACCGATATTTTGGTTAATTTTACGTTAATAATACATCAAAGTAGCAAGCAGTTATTATAATGACACTATCAAATGGTTCCCAGCTGTTCCCCAATCCCTAATGCTTTTACGCGAAAGCTTTCCACGTGTTTGTGTCGTAAAGGGGTATGTACACCTGCCGAATGGAAGTGTGCCAGTGGCGAATGCTTGCCTGAAAACCAGAGGTGCGATGGGATAAAGCAGTGCAACGACGGATCCGATGAGGATCGATGTGGTAATTATATTACAGCTTTCGCCCGCAATTAAAAATGGCCTTCTCACCGCTGCTGCTCGTTGACCAGCTGTACGCTATGAAATTTTTACAGGTCTTCGAATACAAAATATATCTTATATATCCACAATCAGCTAGAATCTTTTAATTAATTTTATCTTGATTCGATGAATTATTTATTTGGATGCAATATTAATCATGCAGCATGTCATGACTCGAGTTTAATCCTATATTATCTAAATAATTACTTATTTTGTGTATTTTGTCCTTATAATTTAATTAATGATTGCACAGCTACTGGGATTTAACATTTATTTAATTTGTCTGATTGAAACAAATTAATTAATGTCCGTTTTACACAATTACCAAACCCGAGTCTAATTTCGATGTCTGCTAACAAATCCTGAACGATACTGTATAATACTTTCTGTGCATAGAACGGCTTTGCACTCGATATCGTATTCTTTCTTGCGAAAAGAATCACTCTCTTGTACGTGTTGCACGATCAGAGTGATATCGCATGCTGCATTTTGTTTATGTATAAATGGGGCGCACGTCTCTCTGAGAATATAACCGAATTTGAAAGTTTTCGCGCATGATGAAAATATCCGTAAGTAGTTCATGATAATATTAACTGAACAATGTAAGAAGAGCAAATGTCACGATGGGTCCATGAGAATAGATTGTCCTATTCTATACTTTGTCTTAGACACTTATTAGAATAGAGTGTGTGACTAATGCTCACAATCAGTAGAGTGTAATATGACTAACAAGGGTAATAACGCCTGTGTGATAAGAAGTGCGTAACAATTTATACGGTACGTTTATTTAACACTTAAATAATTGTGTATAATTTTAATATCCACGATACTTTTTATTTTATCGCTTGCGAAAGATATACAAATTTTTTTCAAGAAACGAATTAAATTGGACAACGGCAGAAAATTATATTTAAATTTATGTGCAAAATATTTTGAAAAAAAGATGACAAATTACATAAATAAACAAAAAAATCTTAATAATTATACATCATAAAATCAACACTTACTTCCTTTTTTCTTCTTACGTTATTTTTATAAGTAATAAATAATATCAAAACATTTTGTACATATATTATCGCGATTACTTAAGTGTTAATAATAATTGTTATCGTGCACGCTGAGTGCGAGCACGTTTTTCTGGTCTTACACGTTATTCGATTATCGCAAGCGAATATGAGACTCTGCGGTGGTAAGGCTATTTTTTTCTCCTCTCCCCTTCCCGTAAGAATAGCATGCACGATAATACTCGACATGGAACTTGGTAATTATTGTAGTTACCGAATGCCCGCCTGGGTGGTTTCGATGCAACGACGGATTGTGCCTCGACAATAAGAGACGTTGCGATGGTCGGCCGCATTGCTTGGACGGCTCCGACGAGATTGATTGTCCTCGTAACGGTTATAATTTAGCTTTATTTTACATGCCGAGGATAATATAGACCTAAGTCGTATATTTGAATCGAAATCGACTTGTAATACAGTAGTTTCGACGAATACTGTTTACTAGCGAATAGACGCTATTCGAATAATATAGCAGCATCTTTAATAGTATAGCACTCAGCAAGTTAGAATAAGCTATTTATTTTATTAGAACTAGAATTTTTTATATATATTTTTTTTATTATTTCTTTTGAAACTTATTTTTGGTATCTTAGGTCTGTATTTTTCTTAGCGCATTATTTATATCGACAACACACACGAAGAAAATTTATCGTTATTTACAGTCTAAATTGATTTTAATAACAAATATACATTTTCGTAATTATAATTTAAAAATTTCAATTAAAATTAAAAAAACTATAATTAAAAAATTCGAATTAAAAGCTTCAACGATAATTCTTCTCCGTGCGCCATGTATCTTATTTTTAATTTCTCTTGGTAACATTACTTCCTCTTTTACTCTTTCATCTATTTTCTGTCAGCATTTTTATCGTGGATTGCAATACTTCCTGCGACATATGGCATTCTTGTTATGGGCATATGATACTTACTCTTAGCGATTTAACAGTGAATGAATGTAATCTTTTACTAATTTATTTTCTCGTGATTCAGTGTTGTGTTAATAATTTTACTAAATATCTTACAAAAAAGGTAGGATAAATTAACACAACGATCAACAATATTTATTTACAAGCTCAATATAAAAACGAGGCCAAACGAGACAAGTTGTCATTTCTTATTTTACGACACTTGACTTTATTTTAATTTCAAATCTTTAGTTTATTTTTTCTGTCTTCATTGGTACTTTCATCAACTTTCTCAAAATTGGCTTTTTTGTCTCTCTCTGTGTACATTATATATATTGCAAGACAAAGACTATTAACTTCATCACCGAAGGGAAGTTTACACGCTCCACCTTTCGCAACGTTTTGTCTAAGCAAAATGGATTTGCAAGATCAGCTTGCCAGGCGCAGCGAAAGATGCAGCATGCAAAACTCGCTTATGATTTAATCGTACACCGGTCGATTTTCTGAGTCAGTGTCAAGTCGCGAGCGACTTCTCCAAATGATCTATGTCGATCGTGCGGGACATTTGTGAATGCCTGCTGATTACGCAGGAGTCTGTAGCAGACGGCGGCGACGGTGCGGCCGTTCGAATGACTTGTCGCGCGTCGCGTCGGTGTTCAAGTCGGCAATTAAGAGGCTGTGTAACTAATACGAGCACACAAGTGCGTACACACGTACGCCGAAGCTGTTAATCTCATTTCGCCGTCCTGTATCGACCGTTTGGGCACGTTTTAGCCGGACGTTGACTGGCCATTAACTCGAATACCGACGTGTCGCAACAGCACTTGTCGCAGCCACCTCGGCACGACCCAGCAAAAGACGAATAAATTGAAATCAATCGATGGGAATTTATTCGCAATACTCAATGATTAATCGTCGAACTCGAGATTTGTTTTTGAAACGTTTGGATTTCTTCTTAATCTTTTCTACCGCCGATGTATTGACTCAACGCATCTAAAGTGATGAATATAAAATAGAGAAAAATTTACTTTAATACATTTCAATTGTAAATAAAGAAGCTGTTTTGTATTTCAATTTTTAATTGCATTTTATTAGAATTAAAATAAATTAGAATAAAAATAATCGTAATAAAGAATTGAATAGAAAGGAATATGAATAAATTTTAAAATCAAATCTTGATTTTGAACGATTGGATTTCGCAAAAATAAATTCTCATTAATTCTTTTCAATTTGCCTTGTTTCATATGTGATCAACAATTTCTATTTCTATGTTTCAGCATCATATATGTACACATCTTGTCATACTCGTACTTTAGTACCGAGAGATACAATGCGATATAATAAGATAAGAAATCAGCAACAATAAGTTGATAATTAAAAACCGATTATTTCTTTATCGCGATTTTTATGGTTTCTTATGCTTATTCTTATACTTCATTGTATCTCGGTTTTCATAGCTGTTTGTGCCTTGATCTTGGATATTGGATTCTTGGATTCGATAACCATACTTGCGTATATGACATATATCTTGATTACGCGCTCGGACTTTTTAACATGCACTTTGCATCGATTATATGGATGGGATGGAACAACTCTACTTATTCTTTACTTCTCTCTGTCTTTCTACTTGTCTATCTGTACGCCTGTTTACTATCTACTGTCCGTCTCTCTATTTTCAGCACAGGTTGCCTGATCTTTGAATTGCGCATCTCTATATGTGTATATATACATATCTATATCCGCGTATACGATTATACATATATGTATATATACGTTTTTCTGATACCCTTTTACCTCCGGTTATTTACGTCTCCGCAATTTTCCACGCCGCGCGCTGACGCGTGCACAAACCGCGCTCTGCTGTTGCGTCCACCGCGTACCTCGCGACTGACGTAACTTTTGTAAATGTCACGTTTTACACGATGGTCCTCTCCACGTTTGAGAAACTAAGTTTAACCTGTTTAATAAAAAACAAAAAAAAAACAATGTTCGCACAAAGTAGTTAAAATAAAAGTGGCTTAATTTTAAAAAAAGCGATATTTATACAAAAGTTTCTCAAATTATGATCGAATAGCGAAGTTATAAATAGCTGCGTGGTTATAAATTAAAATATCTGAAAATCGCATGTAAAATTTCTTTTTATCAGCAGCCTTTTTATTCAATTAAAACGAATGCGTGCACGCGGCATCGCGCCGTCATCTCCGTGTTTCTTCAGGTACACGACCTACGGCAATATGCACGATTCGACCAGCGGCTCCGGCGCACTTTTATCGCCCTTCGTCCATCGCCCAAGAGGAAGCACCTCTCGCGGGACTCTTTATCGATCGATAATTATCGAAGGCACTTGGTCAGCCTCGCGCATCTAATTTCTCCGAGCAAGGGTGAGGGCTGGCGCGTTATACATCGAAGCCGTTTGCAATTTTTTCCGGCTGACTCATACGAGGGTATTCTTCGTGACCCCGCTTGACGACCCGGCGAAGAATGCAAGAATAGCCGCAGCTGCGAGCGAATCGTTATTAAACAAACGTGCATATTGCCGCTTCGTACCATTTACACGGTCTAAAGGATCTTCTCGTCTGTCCTCCCCCGCCGCCCTTACTCGCGATTCAACCAAGTTGATTGGTTTTTGCAGAATGCCCCGACGGTGAACTGCCCTGCGCCAACGGTGTCTGTATCAATAAGAACTTCTTCTGCGACCACAATATCGACTGCCATGACGCCAGTGACGAGCAGGATTGCCGTAAGAATATCTTTAGACAAATATTATACATTTTCGCTGCTTTAATGCAATCTGCAATGTTCAATATTCAAACGTCGTATTACGCGAGATATTCTATATCCTCATACGCAGAATATTTTACAAACATCATAAAACGCACTGATGCATTTTATAAATTGAAGTTGAACGAGATTTTTCTCATTAAATGGATATTTATGGAACTCTTATCTTTCCGTCCGGCTAGGTCTTGTTCGACGAAAAAATAATAGCTCGAATAACTACATTTTGCAGCGGATAGCGGCGAGACCGGCGGTGCAGGCCAAGAATGCGAACACGACAGTTTCACCTGCCGAGATGGTAGCTGCATACCTCGAGCGGCGGTGTGCGACGGCCGTGCGGACTGTCCGCACAACGAAGACGAGATCTTCTGCCTTCGAGGTGAGACAACTTCTGGAATCCTAATATTTCCACCTATCTTTATTATAAAAAAATTGCGTTTATTTAGGCCGGTAAATATGATCTTTATCGATAATGTATTTGGAAGATTGATAAGGAAATCTCTCCCTCGTTCGTCAATTCAGGCTTATGGCTCAGTCTTTCAAATGTATCATAGCCTTAAGACTTAAGACGGCACTGGGATTATGTTTTGAGAAGGCAAATCTTATTTCTCAATTTACAATTAGCCTTACGTCACCGCCCAAGTGTTGAATGAATACTGTCTTGTGCGAAGTCTGAAATTTAATCTTGCTCCGGCTGTTTCGTACCATGGAAAAGTTATTTTATTTGGCTGCATAAGCCGCCGCTAATCTTGCTTGCCATTCGTCAAAGTAAATAAATCTTGTCCTAAGATGGATTTAATGAAAGATGATATCCTCCTCGAATGTATGATTTAGAGCAACGATGTGAGATAATGTGCGATAATTACGCTCAAGTCTTAAGGCTATCCAATATCCGTTTTAAGTTCTGGTTACTCGTACAGTCCCTTCAGCAAAAGAAGGGCCCTTTCGTGTCTCTGAGACTTTTCGGACACGTATGCGTGTGCGTTGTGGACGCGCTGTGCCACCAATACATCGATGACACATTCGCGAGAACACCGCAACTCAGATTGAGTTACTTCTAGGTGTAGACGCCTCGGATAATGCCTCCTCGAGGGGGCATCCAGAGACGAGGGTGGTAGCCGGTGTGAATCCGAATAACGAGGCTTACAGCCCAGACACAGATGCAAATGCTGATGTGCCGCCGACAAATCTGAGCACGCCGAGGAGTTGTGCTCCGGATGATTTTGTTTGCGCCGACGGCACTTGCATCCCCGAAACCCACCACTGCGACCATTTCTACGATTGCCGCGACTTTTCCGACGAACAGTACTGCTTCGGTTAGATTATTTGTAGATCTCGAAAATCTGGTGGCACGTATCCTCTCTTCGTGTCACAGCTCCACGCGATTCCGTTTTCTTCTCGATGTTCTGTTAATAAATTGCGCCGAAAGAAATTGTAGAAGCAAAGCACGCCGTATCTTAAAGTTGTAATTATTCGCGTATTTAAAAATGTATACATTAGCACTGTAATTGTTTAAATTATGTTAAAATGTTTCATATTTGAGATAATTTATATCATTTGTTTTATTAATTATTATGACGGTTATTTTTTATTTTTTGTCTTTATTATTTTTCAGCATTTTTTTTTAATGAATATTTCCAAAATTATATCTTGCTCAATTATTTATGATAAACATCTATGTTATTTCTCCGTATATTCTTTTTATTTTGTTTTTATATTTTGTTTTAAATATATAATATTAAAGTTCGCTCTTTTATCTGCGAGATATTCCGGGTATCCTTTGAAGAACACCAGATTCTCTTGAATCTATATCCTTTTCTGCCAATCTGTGTTAGCAGCTGAATAGAAGATGTGTAGGTTGTTCCAGTAGAGACTTGATTATATTTATATAAAATTTACCATCATCGCAGTCTTATATTATCCGGCGCATCCTTATAAATAATAGTGCATCTCTGCCTGGCGTAAAAATTTAGATTATCGTTTCTTTTTCTCGTAGGTAGTTTGGCATAAATTCTATTATATGGCATGCATAGAATGAGGAAAGTACATTTTTCACCCGTAGAAATTGTGTGTGAGCGAATTTATATCTTGGAAGGAAAGATACTTTCAAAAAATGTATAAATATTTAACGACGCTGCTTTTAACAACATTTGTGTATACAAGTTGCTCGACAATTCAAAACAACAAAATTGTGCCTAAATTTAGGAATCATAAATGTCTTTCCTCTTGAGTCTACGTTATATTGAATGATGAATTATATATATATATATACTTAAGTGTTTGTAGATAACAATTAGTGTGCACAGTAAAAAGAGAAATATTTCAGAGAATAACATCGAAATGTATGAAAATATCCAGTTTATAAATTTGCTGTGTGAACTGATTTCTGATATACAAATATTTAGATTCTGGACCAGATCTGTCTAATTTGTTTACGACAGCGAGCAAAAAAAAAAGTAAAATAGACAGTAAATAGATAGTTCTGCTCTAGATTCTAAAAGTTAAATATTTTTTTCTAGGTAATGAAATATTTTCCTCCATCGTATTTATATTTCGACGTTAGATCATTGTTTAGATTGTAATGACGGACATATGATGGCTCCGTGGCTGACATTTTACATGTATCTGTGTCTCATCTATATCGTTTTTTAACGAACAGATGGCTTATCGTTGTCTCATTGACGTATAATGCAAACTCTTATTTTAGGATGCACGCGGGATCAGTTCCAGTGTGCTAATAGAGATTGCATTCGCGCAGATCAGAGATGCAATGGATACATCGAGTGTGCCGACGGTTCTGACGAGCCAGAAGAATGCGGTGAGTATGTACAGAGGGGTAAACAGGACGCAATCAACGGTGTAATCAATCAAAGTAACGGGAAAACATTTCATACTGCTAGAGCACCGGATGCAAATATTTACAATTTGATGTAATTTCGAAGTGATTTATAGAATTGCAATCTGTCATTTTGCAATTTCGTGTTACATTTTTTATTTCTGTCGGCTTATTAGGACCATCAGAGCCAGGTCAATGTACGGCTAGCCAATTTATGTGCGTTTCGGACAGAAGATGCGTCCCGCAATCCTCCATCTGTAATGGAATTCCAGAATGCAGAGATGGATCCGACGAGCATAATTGCGGTAAGTTTACCAAGTTCAGCAACAGCAATATCGGCATACAAATATTGTATGTCGCATAGCAAATAATAACGCGATTAGCTGAAATTGAGATCCGCGAGTTCTACTTTGAATTCTCACACATGGTAATTGAGAGCTAATAATAATAATCGCGCGGATCGGAGCGGCTTCTAACTTAATTGTCAGGATATTTTAAACAACTCCGCAAAGATACAGTATAATGACACGCATTTAACGACGAAACTAAAGCTCAAGAGGCGTCATGCTCGCGCGAGGAGTGGAGGTGCAAGAACAATGATTGTATACCTCGACACCGACGTTGCGATCGCCGGATCGATTGTCCGTACGACGATAGCGACGAGTTGGGCTGTGACTATAGGGCGTTGCATAGAAATCACAGTAGATGCCGGTCGCACGAGTGGATGTGCAATGACGGTCACTGCATCCCGCTGCATCAGCGATGCGACAAAAGACTCGATTGTCCTAGAGACATGTCCGATGAAATGGATTGCAGTTATGAGAATCGTGAGTTTCCCCCGGTAGTTAGTTATCCAGCGCGAAGGCCGCCTCCGCGCAAATGGGGATCGCACGGCCGGCCGATAACAGCGCGCCGATAACACGCCATGCGCTAATCAATAATACCTTGTAAATATCTATGACACATCCGTAACATAATATCTGTTGTAACGTAATATTGTAATGTTTCATACAACACTAAAAGATAGTACCTCATTTGCAGTGAAAAGGACACGAGTAAATCAGTCTGTTGTATTTCAAACGTTTAAATTATAATTCCACTTTTCCCTACCCGATAACACACGTATATATTTGTAATCCGACAATAACAAGAGTATTTCATGACAAATAATATGGGATAGTGAATAGTTTCTAACAATTTCTAGTATATAGTAGTTACATCATATTGTGTTATACTTCCCAGACTTAATGACTAAACGAGAATAAAATTGCATTTCCTTGTGGAATTATAGGTAGAAAGGGACCCAGTAGAAATGTTGAATTAACGAAGTTGATAGTAATTAAATATATCTTGTACATACACTAATAATTAATAATCGATTATTTTCTTTATTATAAATTAATTATTTTTCTTCGTTATGCAGATACCGATGGAACATCTGATCTCAGACTAAAGACGTATCCCAGTGAACAAGTGATTAAAGAGAGTAAGTGTTATTGTTCTTGTTTTCGAGCAACGTATATACCGAACGTTTAATTAGATATTATATATGCATTTGTTGCAATCTAAATTATTTTTTAACAATTATCTTTATTCCGTGAAAAGCAACAAATTTTAATAACTAATATTATTTTAATTGCTAAAAATCTCAAGTATATTTACGCCAGAAAAATTACGCGAAATAATAATAAGCAACAAGTTCCGCGTTGTCGATAAATTAGCGTATTTGAAAAGAAATTTAATTAATAAATATGTTTGTTATTTTGTTCTTGCCTTGGCCAGATCCGGCGAAGCAAGGTAAGACTTTTAAAAAAATATAAGCTGCAAATCATGCTGTGGGCTAAAATAATCTTCATGAATCATTGAACATGCAAAATTGATTATATAATACGTGTTTCTATTATAATATATACATATTAAGTGTCTACATACATATTGAACTGTACATATATGTATGTATTTTTGCTTATCGCAGTTTTACATCGATGTGAATGCCTTTTTAAACAAAATAAGCAAAAGAATATCCTACAGTTCGGGTTGACGTTAAAGAAAGTCTGCTGTTTTGATAAATTTTACGATTATTAATATAACACTTCATTATTATAAATATATTTCGCAGGTACACACTACAATCATAAAGCTACAAAAAACACATACTTAAGAAAGCGCTATTTTCTCATGATAAAATTGATAAAAGTTTCAATAATAAAATTGAATTCTACGAAGCCACGCATGCAGATGCAATCATGCATGATAGCTGGATCAGAACTTAAATTAAGCGCAGAGTTTGTGATAAATTGTTAAAAAATTTTTTTACTGTTATTTGATAATTCTGATCAAGTGTACATTTTCGCTTAAACAAATTCTTCGACACTAATTCGTCCGAAATATTTCGAACTTACGAACTTCGAACTTACTTACTTTCAAACTTCTTCGACTTTATTATCGGGTGTACTAAAACATTCTCATTATCTCTACATGCAAACACAAGTACACCTCAAGTAACACGGTTAGGAAAAACTGAAGTGTTGCACGAAACATACTAACACGACAACATCAATACCATCTCAATTCGAAAAGTCGAGCAAATCCGCTTGCTTACGGATCGCTGCTGACGGGATGTTTGACATACTATGGGCGTAACAATCCGTAACGATCAAAGGTGCAACCTCCCGAAACCCAACGGAATTTATGTCACGCAAAATCGTTTTCCAATTAGGTCGCGAGGTCGTATTCCAATGCCGTGACGAGGGTCTGCTGCGTGCCAGAGTACGTTGGATCCGCGGTAACGGTCTTCCTCTGCCTCCCGGCAGCCGGGACATCGGCGGTCGCCTGGAAATACCCAATATTCAAATCGAACACGCTGGAACGTACATTTGCGAAGCGGTGGGTTATCCATCGTCCACTTCGGGCCGTCAAGTCAGCGTCGACCTTACCGTCGAGAAATGTACGTTTCCTTTTTTTTTTTTTTAATATACGCTTACGCAATGTGTTTGTAACAGAAACCAGCTATAAGCTATTAATAAATTTAAGACCGTTTTAATGACCGAACATTCATAATTAAATGAATTAATTACACAGTCGAGCAACCGGCCACCAGATCTCCGGAAGTGTGCCAATATGATCAGGCTACTTGCAGCAACGGCGACTGCATTCCCAAGACGCACGTTTGCGACGGTAAATTCGACTGCACCGATGGATCCGACGAGATGCGGTGCAGTAAGTGTATTTTCTTCGAAACTATATCCGTCATCCATATTTCACGGTCCGAATGTCACACAAACGTCACGACCGACTGGTTACCTTTCAACAGGTCCGCACGGATGCGAGCCGAATGAGTTCCGTTGCAATAATAAGCAGTGCGTCAGCAAGTTATGGCGTTGCGACGGCGACAAGGACTGCGCCGACGGCAGCGACGAAGAAAACTGCGGACCGTCTCCCGCGGGATCGTCTTGCCGTTACAGCGAGTACGCCTGCAGCAGTAACAAGCAATGTATCCCGAAGAGCTACCACTGCGACATGGAGCGCGACTGTTTGGACGGCAGCGACGAAATCGGATGCTGTCAGTATTAATGAATGTTTTATGGCTATTTTATCGCCAATCATCCGATTTTTATGTCGGATAAATTTAACAATGGATAGAACAAAGCTAACTTTGACGAAACAATCGGCATTCGTCAAATAGCAAAACGAAGATGTCATCTCGATACTTGATTCTAATAATGCATTTTTATCTTGAACTTTTAAAGTTCTGATTTTAAGAATTTTTATTTACAATGCATCATTTTTCTAATCAAATTTCTAAATAATATATAAACAATTTAGAAATTAGAAATTAATATCAGTATTTTTTAACACTATTATTAAATAAAATATCGTTACTATTAGCGAATTATGATATTAACGTCGTGATCGATCTGTCTTTATGCAGCTCCCGTTTACATCGTGAAACCGCCACCGCCGATGATCGTCCTGCAGCCGGGCGAACTGCTGGTTCTCACTTGCACAGCGATCGGCGTACCGATACCGGAAATCAATTGGCGGCTCAATTGGGGACACATACCAGCGAAGTGTTCGATGTCATCCTCTAATGGAACGGGCACATTGACGTGTCCGGATATACAGCGCGAAGACCAGGGCGCGTACTCGTGCGAAGCGCTGAATATCGGCGGCTTCGTCTTCGCCGTGCCGGACGCTATCGTCGTCGTAAAAGAGACGCGGGTCTGCCCGAAGGGCAAGTTCAATTCCGAGGCGAAGACCGTGGACGAGTGCATCTCGTGCTTCTGCTTCGGCGTTGCCACCGAGTGTCGCAGCGCCGATCTCTTCACCTACCAGATTCCGCCGCCGTTCGATCGCCACAAAATCGTAGCGGTCGAGACCGCGCCGACTATCAGAATTAGCAGCGACATCACCAGCCAGGTGTCTCAAATCCGGCCAATCGGCCGCGACGGCGTTCAGCTGCTAGAATCCGACAGCAACAACCTAAATGTCTACAACGTGCCGTACTTTGCGCTGCCAGAGAACTATCACAGCAGTCAATTGAAATCCTACGGCGGCTACCTGAGATACACAATCCGCTACAGCGGCAACGGCACGCCGAATAATGCACCCACCGTTATCCTGAGCGGCAACAATTACATCCTGGTGCACAAGGGCGCGCAGCCGACGCCGGATTACGACACTGAGGAATCCGTCAGGTTCTTCTACGGCGACTGGTACAAGCAGCAAGGACGAAGCGAGGTCCTGGCCTCCAGGGAGGAGATCATGATGACACTGGCGAACGTGGACAATATTCTCATAAAGTAAGCATCGTGCTCTATAGAGATTTTCTCTCGTGGAGGACCACAAAGAACATTATTACAGCGTTCGATATATTGCAGAATGCAGTACGACGACTCACCACAACAGGATGTTCGTCTCACCAACATCATCATGGACACCGCCGATGTGCGAAACACTGGACTGGGATCCGCCTCCTTTGTGGAGGAGTGTCAATGTCCTACTGGTACGTCGGCTTCTTCGACATAATTAATTTATTGTCGAATATAGTGCTCTTTTATTTGTTTTGTTTATTTTAATTGTCTTTAAGGATACACTGGTCTTTCCTGCGAGCATTGCGCACCTGGTTATCTAAGACGCGAGAGTGGGCCGTGGCTTGGCCAGTGCTACAGAGACGAACCGCCATGTCCTCCGGGATACTACGGCGATCCTTCGAGGAACATCCCTTGCCAGATTTGCCCTTGTCCGCATACCAATCCGTCGAACCAGTAAGACACGAATGATTTGTATTACGATGACGATGCGTCGATAGAGCAATGCTTTTGTAATTTTGTTAAAAATTTAATATAATATGATATATTATAATTTTGTTAGATTTGCCCGCACGTGTCATCTTGGATCTGATGGGCAGCCGACTTGCGACTGTCCTCCTGGCTATGTCGGACGCAGGTGCGAACAATGTGCCACCGGATATCAAGGGAATCCTCTTATTCCCGGAGATATGTGCGTTCCACTTGAGGATTGCGATTCTAGCGGCAGTCTCAGCCCTCACACTGATCCACATACCGGCAAATGCCGTTGCAAGGTATACTAGAGCGATTGCGCAGTAATTATTTATATAATTTATTTTTTTTTACAAAATGTCCTAAAAATCGCGAAACTCGAACGCTATTTTCTAGCAGGAAATTTTTTCTTTATCCTCGCAAATAATATTTCTCTTTAAAAATCTTGCGTAACATTTTTACTGTTGTTCTTGCATCCATTTTTCACGGATTCTGTTAAAATGTAAGTACATTATGCAATCCTTTTATGTATACAGATATATGTAAATTGATTGTTAAGATAAATGAACGCTTTTGCAATATTGAATATAGAAGCGCCGTATTTATTCTCTGATGTTTTGTCTTTCAGCAATACGCAACGGGTTTGACTTGCAACCAATGTAAGGCGAATACCTTTAATCTGGCCTCGACAAATCAATTTGGATGCATATCTTGCTTCTGCATGGGTATCACCAATAGATGCATCTCTTCTAACTGGTACAGGAACGAGGTAAGACAAAAACATCGCATTTGTTACAATCTTTATCACACATACATATATGATTATTATAAAAAAATTTTTTTAATGTAAAAATTAATTGCATAATTTTACAATTCTAAAAATAGAAATTTTTGATTTTTTAAAAAAGGCTTATAAATATATCACATTATATTAAAAGCTTACAATTAATTATTTATACATTGCAGATTCGTGTATCGTTCACCAATTCAATTCGAGGCTTCTCTCTGATCGAATCCAAGATCATCGACGCACCGGCCATCGTCGAAGGAATTCATCTGAACACCATCAGTCGAGAAATAATTTACAGTGACTTCCCGAATCGCGGAAATAACGATGTTTATTACTGGCAGTTGCCCAGCATTTTCCTAGGCAACCAGATAACATCTTACGGTGGCAATCTCAAGTATACCGTCAGATACGTTCCTTCGCCGGGCGGTCAAAGTTCAAGGAACAACGCCGCGGACGTCGAACTCGTCAGCGTGAGTGCATATTCGCGAGCCTTACCCGCGTTACCCAACGACGATGTAATAGTGATTTAATGCATACAGGCTAACGACATCAACTTGCTCTACTACTCTCGCGAGTCTCCCGAGCCGAACTCCCAGCAATCGTTCACCGTGCCGTTGCTCGAGCAATATTGGCAGCGCAATGACGGAACGCAAGCGGACAGAGAACATCTTCTAATGGCATTGGCGGATGTACAAGCCATCAGAATTAAAGCCACCTACACGACACATACAGACGAAACTGCGTAAGTAACTCATGCATCTCTGATATTAAAAAAAAAGACTCGAATATTTTCAACTGTAGTAATTGCTAAACAAAATCTGAAGACAAAATACAATAATTATCCTGCAAGCTTTTTAAGCAGCCATAAAATTTCGTTTGAGAAATAAATTAATGAATTTTTCGATAGCTTAAAATAACATTTTTGAATTTAATTAATGTTTAATTAAAAACAAGAATGCTTTAAAAAATCTTAAAAGATTTTAGTGAGTTATCAAATAACAATGTGTATGCTCTAGACTCTCCTTCGTATCTTTGGATACCGCCGAGAAAACCAATACAGGGAAAGCGCGCGCAGTCGAAGTCGAAGAATGTACTTGTCCCACCGGCTACAGAGGACTTTCGTGCGAGGATTGCGATGTTGGTTATACTCGGGCCATCGAAGGACTTTACTTAGGCATCTGCGAGGCGTGCAACTGTAATGGACACTCGAATCAGTGCGATCCTGAGACCGGTATTTGCGAGGTATGCAAAAAGCGATTTATTTTAATTGTATATTAAATTATTTAATACATTTTTTTTAAACTGCTGGAAGTCAAGATTCTTATTAAAATAATTAATTCTATCAATAATTGTGTTTAGATGTGAAATTTTTCAAATAAAGCATTATTTAAATCTTAATCATTTCAACGCCAAGCTATAAAATAAATATGATTGAAACAACTATATAAAATGTAATGCAGATCGATATATTCAGGGGTTGATTTAAATATTGAAATTTTAAATTGACAGAACTGCGCTCATCACACTACCGGTGATTTGTGCAATGAGTGCGAAGCAGGATACGAAGGAGATGCTACTCGAGGCACTTCAAATGATTGTACGTACAGGAGCCCAAGACCCGAACCATGTAGATGCAACGAAGCTGGCTCGCGCAGCACGTCGTGCGTCGACGGCCGATGCGAATGCAAAAGGAACGTCGAGGGTTCAGAATGCAATCGGTGCCGCCCGTCGACATATGGATTACGTGCCGAGAACATTGATGGATGCATCGAGTGTTACTGCAGCGGAGTAACTGATCAATGTCACGAGAGCACATTGTATGTACAGCAAATACCGATGTGGGTGTACGACTCACACCACGGTTTCACCCTCACAGACTCGTAAGTATGCAACATCGTTTATCCAAATAATGTCCTTTGATTATTTCGTAATTACATGTTTGTTTTTCTGAATAGTTTTTATAGTTAATATGAATAATAGAAATATATAATTATTTTTTGATAATTAAATCGATAAAGCAATTAAAATAAATTTGAATTTAATCGATACCTGAATTTTTTACAGAACCAGACGCGACATAATTAACGACGGTTTCGAGCTAAACGTAGCAATGAATGAAATCGGCTACCGCTATCCGGACAGCAGAAGCCGCAGATTGTTCTGGTCGCTGCCAAGCGTCTTCACCGGAAACAAAGTGAAGAGTTACGGCGGTAATTTGACTCTGACGCAGCATATCACCGCGTATCCTGGCGCTCAGAGTTACAAGGATCAAGACATTCTGCTGATTGGCAACGGCGTTACATTATTCTGGACGAATCCAGCAGAGATCCAACCCGATGTTCCGTTGGTACGTAAAAAAATTTATATGCCGTTTTGCAGTTTTGCAAAGAATTGAAGAACAATAGCTTCAATAAAAATACATTTTTCAATGCAAAGCTAATTGCTATTTATATAACATTTCACATCTTTGATCTTGTTTTACTAAATAAAGCATCAAGCTTAATATGATGTAAAATAAGCTCGAATATTTACAAGTATTTCACCGGTATTTTAAAGGCAACGTTTACATTTTTTTGCAGACCTATTCTGTACCACTGGTAGAAAACGAGTGGAGACGATTGAGCACCGAAGGACCGCGCAGCGCTTCCAGGACAGATCTCATGATCGTGCTTTCCAATCTGGAGGCTATTTTGGTCCGCGCATCGCACAGCGAGCGAATGACCGCTACATACATCAGCGACATCAGCATGGACACAGCCGTGGAGAATCTGACCGGAAATCGACGCGCGACTCAAGTCGAGGCCTGTCGTTGTCCGACGGGTTATACTGGAACATCCTGCGAGACTTGCGCGCGCGGTTATTACAGGGACACTAGCGACCGATCCGTCAGCTATCTGGGCGCGTGCAATCTCTGCCCGTGTAACAAGAACGAACAGAGCTGCGAGATCAGCAGATCCGGTCACGTCAAGTGCCACTGCCTGCCGGGCTACACGGGACAGTATTGTCAAGACAGTGGCGGTAAGTAAAAAGAAACAATTTTTTATATATTTATAATAACATACAAAAAATGAAATTTTTTTGTTTAAAAAATTGAAATTAAATCGTGAAAATTTCGAAAATAAGCGAATAAAAAATATACTGAGATTATCTTCTAGATTTTCATAGAGCAAATTGTATTCACAATGGAACATTTATAGATTAATATTAAGAAGAAAATTAATTAGGACAATCGAGTTGTGTAAATGTTTTACAAAAACAATGTCAATTGCGAGAGAGCGATATACTTTTGTCAGATTTACTTTTGGATCATAGTAAAAATAAAATTTCAAGCTCTAAAAATTCGAAGAATTAGTAAAAAGTTTTTAAAAATATAATTAAGTGACGACGCGTTGATCAGGTGAACTGATGGTAAGCCTAATGCCCTTGAACGGCGAGGTCGAGCTGAACTCCGTGGTTCAATTTACGTGCAACTATGACTATCCAGACACATTTTACATCTATTTTAAATTATCGTCACTTAACGGGCTTCCCGTGACTGCTCGGACCGGCACGCCCGGCCCTATAATCAAGACGCAGAAAGGAGCTGTGCGTAGCTGGTCTGTCCACGTGGGACACACCGCTTGCAACGTGGAGTGTCATATCGTGACGTACCACGGCAGAGAACTAGTCAAGATCGTGACGTCGATTACACCAGGTTTGACGGACCGCAGAGCTTTCAATATCTCTTGTCCGTCCGGCAGTGGTTCGTGGCGAGGGAGAATGTAGAGCATTATAGATCGTTGCCAAATTCGGTGAAGGAATTTTTTTTCTACAGTCTGTATCACGATTCCATGATTCTTCGCAGATATTTGTGAACAGAGAAGTGCTTGGCTTTCGATCTGGTGTATGGTACTCTGTATTATGAACGTTGTGTACGTCTCGATGCATATATTAAGACATTTGTGTTTCGAATTAATTAATATAAATTATCATTCTGCGAAATAACTGTCCCTGCCACGATGTTTCGTTAAAATTCGATGGTGGTTGTATCTTTGTGACGTACATTGCCTACTTATTACGGCGAATCTGTAGAATTGCAGATACCCGTATTTGTTATTAGTTCCCACGTCGTTTTAATGTCGCGCTAAATTGTATGAGAAAATCTTGGTCGCTTAAAAATTAATTTTATTTTTATTTTCTGCACAGTTCCGGAACCAACCGTACCGGTGGAACCTGTACCTCCCCCGAGGATCATAGTTTACATTCAAGAACCGGAATTCCAGATCGTTCAGACCGGAAACACCGTTAGATATCACTGCATGGGCAGATCCCAAGATAGAGTAATTCTTTCATCAATTTTTATCATAGATAATGCTCTTGAATGTAATTATAATTACTTTTATCTGAAAATAGGACTCAGTAAACATTAGATGGGAGAAAGAAGGTGGTCAACTACCGCCTGGCAGAAGCATCGACGATGCGAATGGATTATTGGTCATCAGAGACGTAAAGGTGTCTGATAGTGGCATATACGTCTGCCAAGTAAGCGATGGAATAAACATCGAAAACAAGAAAGTTACCCTGACTGTTGGAGGTACAATGCGAATTTTGATTATATTGCACATTAAGTTAAATGTTGCCGCCATATTTTGCGTTTTGATAAATTTCAAAAATTGAATTAAAAAATAAATCAATATTATATGCGATCTAATTCTTTTCGCTGTGTTACTGGACGCAGCATTTCCGAAGCACTTGTTGGAAATACCAGGTACAAATTATAATCGTCTCAAGCCGTTCGTGAATAAATCATAACTTTCTGTAACTTTATTTCAAGGAGCTACTTCGGAGGAACCTAGAGTCGACATTAAACCATCATATCAGCAAGTGAAGGAAGGCGAACCAGTCGAATTCCGTTGCGAGGCCAGCGGCAATCCGCCACCGCTATTAGAGTGGATTCGAGTACATGGAAGCATGAGCCCGGAGGCGACGTTCTACAGCGGCGTGTGGCGGCTTCCAGCCGCGTCAAAGAATGATGCGGCCGAGTACAAGTGCGTCGCTAGAAACAACGTTGGCTTAAATGAGAAGACGACTATCTTATACGTTCAAGGTATAATCGAAAAATTCATGCATCTTAAACGTCACGATATCGATGGACTTCAAGTTGTTTCATCGCAATGATAATTAATGCTGATTTATATTTGTCTAAAAAATTCGTATACTTGTAAACAATAGAGTGACATATGGTTTTATAACAACAAAAAAATAAAGTTTCACATTTTTTTAATTATAGACAATCCTAACAAGCCACCAGTAACCGGCATAGCACCAATCGTGACGCCGTCCGAGTGGACCGGCACGCTCGGAGAAGTCGTTAGATTAGTCTGCACACCGTCTCAGCACGTAAATGTTACCTGGACACGATCCGGCGGTCTGCCATTGCCTTATTCCGCGACTCAACGCGACGGCGTGTTGACCATCACCAAACCCACGCCGAATGATTCCGGCTTATACGTGTGCACCGCGACAAGCGCCCGCGGAACAGAAACAGTACCTCCGCGAGAATAACAATAATACCCCGCAGAGATCCACCAGTAATCAGGGTCAGACCCGAACGGCAGGAAGTGTCCCAGGGCACAATAGCCGAGGTGCAGTGTATC